TTAACTTGGTGATTTCACGGAGAAATAAAAAGAGCGCTAAAAATAATAATTAGTTTACGCCGATATTTAATGTGCCTACTGATATTTGTTTAAGATTGCTTGGAGACATTAAAAGTCAAATTAAATCAGAAGCTTTGAAATGTCCCGAATTTGCATTCGGCCGCTGCATTAATAATGTTAATTAAATTCCCGACGCTCCAGCGAGAAAGAGAAATCACGTACGAATTGAGAGGAATACATTCAAATGTAATATAATTAATGTAATAATAATTAGATGAATTAAGCAATTTGTGTTATAACTATTTGTTATAATATAGCTGTATTAATCCACTACGTAGCTGTTTGCGCTTAATAGATATGCTTGCTCCATTTTGTTTAAACCTCGCCCAGGACCAGCGACTCCTTTTCTAATCAAATAACCAACAAATACAAACATATGTATATTGCACGCACATAAAATATTACGATTAATACACGTTATAAGCCGTTCTGTCCAGTGCTCCAAATGCGGGATACGTAGGATTTCATTTATGAACGCCGCGTTATTTTTATGACAATTGCCGACTCTGGCAATTACTAGAAACGGCTTACAACGTGCTAATACGATTATCGACCGCGAGGTCGCTTACTGTGGGTGTTAAAAGGATTTTAAGGGATACCAGATAACCCAAGCGTCTTGTCCCACCGAATGTAACATGCGAGCGAACATGCTTACGCGGGAAAATCCTATTTCAGACACCCTGCATTAAAGGAAAAGCGCCGCACAAATTGTTAATAACTAAATACAAAATAGAACGAAACAAACGCAGCAACGTAAACGAGATCGTTACTCGGTCATAAGTTTTGATTTAATGCGCTCAATCGGATTGTCGAATCAGCTCTTCGCAACCCCGTAATAATTTAATTCTGATTATTATTCCATTCAACAAAGTTTTGCATGGACAATTGCAGAATACGATATTGCAATCAAGAGTAAATTAATAATAGAATCTGTTACATATATATGTACATCCTATGAACGTAATTCTCTTGTTACACATGTCACTTCAAAAATATTGACTTACAATGATCCTTCTTTTTCATTGGGTATCTCGCACAATCGGATAACATTGCGCAGAGACACATAACAGTTTAACGATTATTTCAAATTTTGTTGTGTATAACACATGTGTATAAACACAAAGCTTGTAAATTTAATGGAAAATCGGAGCATTAATCAACAATCCATAGGATTATTACTGATTAATTATTATATATTATGACTATGGATAATCTTCTCGATTTGGCAGAATACGTTCGAATTCCGCAATTATCTTTGCCACTGTAAGGTGTATAAATGAAGAGGAAGTTGCGAAAAGCCACGTGTAAAACCGACGATTTTAAAGATCCACCGATGACGAATGCTGATTCTCAAATGATTCCGCGAGAGACGTGATGCATACGGCGCGAAGCATTGATCGGTCTGCAACGACGATTTTAATGAAGAGTTGCACGTCAAAGGCGATCGGCGGCGATAATAATTTATCTCCGTATCGATGTGTACGTGGGAGAGGGAATCATTCTGCGAGATTAAAATTTCCGGAAATCGGATTATGAACGGGTCGAGTTACCGACGCAAATGAGCATCGAAAAATATCAATAGCCTTTGCAAATTGGACGTGGACGTTACGAATTTTTCGCTACTCCGTTATCCCGCCATTAATGAGAAAAATATGCGGGATTGTATAATCCGTTCTCTCGGTACATTCCTATTTAGAAAAATAATAATAATAATAATAACTTTTCTGCGACGATACGAGAGACCGAGGAAAATGATGAAAATTTCATTGATAGAAATTCCACGGAATGATCAATTAATTGAATGACACTTTTCTGTTTTAATACATTAACGAATGAAATTTTTCAGAGCACTACGGTTACTTGGTCCCGCAAACTGCAATGCAATTGGAAAAGATCTCGGCCACGTAATAAACGCGTATTTATATGTTTATTATATGTAAAAATATCACAATGTTTTTAATATTATTTTCACATTAATCTTATTGCATGAATTATATGGATATCAATTTTAATTTATAAGCGAGACCCAATTGCAGGAGGAACAGTAAATATACTAGTTTTACCTTATATAGATTATATGAATCGATAGCTATTAAAAATACAGCTGAATTAATTAACTAACATAATTCACTGCGTGAGATTTGTTATCCAGTGATATTATAATGGATACATGAATAGTCGTTTTCCCGATGAAAGGTATACAAATTAATTGCATTAATATCAATTTATATAATTAATTGCAACTATTTTCGTGCAAGATTCTTCAATAATTAATCAAGATTTATAATTATAATTTGTTTGTTTCCAATTGTAGCGAAATGCAGAACGTTAAACATAAAATTTATTAAACATATTTTTGCCCGTCTACCTGTCCCTCTATTTCGGGCACCACGTACAAAGTCTCGATCAATGCTTCGCCGGGACATCATCTTTTATTAAATAATAAGTAACAGCCCGTATTCACACACTCTATTAATCACGTACTTCAAATTTAACCGAGTTCTTTTCTTATCTAACAAAAGAACTCTACACAATTATGAGACATAAACATCAGATGGCGAAACATTTTAGCGCTGTGAATACAGACTTTTAATAACGATGGCAAACAAAAAGGTAGGAGTCTGAAGAGTATTTTTTATCGTATGAGAAGATCTATCTAGGTTCTCCAGGTAGGATGACTGCTCCACGGAAGGATCAGCTGTATTAGATTGTAATCAGATTGGATTTCGCATTAAGCCCGATATATCTGTATCGCTGTCAGATAAGATACTTTCAATCTTATCGTCGAGGTTGGATATATGAAATATCGGGAAATATGAAGGAAATCTGACTCTTCGTAAACACATGATTACGCAATTCTGAAATCACGTTAATCAGTGTGTTCAATTCCATGGAACAATCGCGACCCATTGCGATCAAAAAGGCTAGCAGACGGAAAAGTCCGCGAATGAATAGCGGCGTAACCAGGCGAACACGTATTCTTCGGAATCTATGCACGTCTCGCTGTATAAACGTGACTAGTACGACGCATTATGAGCAAAAATGTGATCCCAGCGGGCGTCTATGTGCTACGCAATGTTGAAAAATTCGGTCCATTTTCAATATTTAACTCCCATCTTTCATCCTAGTTACGCCTCTCAGAATACGATGCTTGTATGGAGATCGATCACCGCGATTGTCAACGAATTTGTTCCACTTTTGCTCGTCGTCGCTTTCGCAACTACGATATCAGCGAATTTATTTTCACCTTTTTTTCCCCCGTCACATTTCTTTCATATTACGCGAGCGTTAAGTGACCGACCTCCAGAACCGGACATGGATATGCATGTTCCTCGCGCTCGCGAAAGCGAGGGACACGAAGCGGATTCTCGCGAGGACCGTGATAGCGAAGCTATCGCTGATAACTGCGACTCTTCCTAGTCGATCCATCGCGAGGCACGTTCTTCAATGGTCCAGCAATTGGCCAGTTCGCTCGACCATGTGAAGCGGTTCGCCTCCGACCTCGTTTCCCTCACTCGATTTTTTTTTATCCCCTTGCTCCCCCATTCTGAATGTATGCTCCATTTTGTTGATTTGAGGGAGAAAGCTAAAGTGAGATGGGAACGGACAGGAACGGCGCTCATTAGATCCCTTCACTTCGAACAACCCGCTGAGAACGAAGGACGATTACGTATCGAGCGATACATATGTCGATGCAACATTCACGAACGATACATAAATCAGACTTGCCTGTGTAGTATTAATTAAATATTAATTATATAAAATTAAATGTAACATACCCTTGACAGGACAATTGTGTTAAAATAGTTATTCGTTTCTTGCGCCGAAGGATCTCATAATTAGTCAATTAATCGGTTAGTTTTTGTAGCTCGAATGAATACTTCATGTATTTTTAGCGAATCGAATGTTCGGCCGCGCGTTTTCATTAATGACGAAGGTAGAATCACACGGATGTCATGTCAAAACTCCATGGTACTTTCAACGAATCTATTTGAGAAACGGCGAATCGCGGAATAACTACCGAAATGACAAGTCTGGTCTACTATCGGTTGTGTCGATGTCAACGTCCCTTTTAATTGACCATTGCGATGTTCTCCATTTTTCTTTTAATATTTAGGAGGGATCCGCTGGCGCCGTGCGAGCAGAGTTGAATTGCTTCAGCAGAAAATATAACGTGTACTCGCAGCGAGCAATAAACAATACGATCTTGAATACATCACGCGAGAGAAGATCAATAAAATATTTTTAGAGACATCGGTGCTCCCTCAATATGGCGAAAACTGAAAAATGCTCGCCCCCCCTTTCAGACGTTCCTTTTCCAACATCGTACAGCTATCTATACTTCATTAAAGATAATTGAGGTCAATTGATATGGTTCGTTGCTCCGGCAAGAATTCTAATAATTATCCTTTCTAGTAATTTTCTTGATTGTAAGAATGTAAAGGTTAGTTCCGCGTTTTCCGCTTCGTTGAATATTCACTTTGTTCAGAATTGCATTTGCCCGTGAGAGAAAATTAATTAATCCCAATAATTACTTGTAACAATTTGTTCATTATGGATTTTACATCGGCCGCGAACAAATAATTCTTCCCTTTGCGTTTTTAAACGTACTTTTTTCCGACTGTCAAAACAAAACACGCTGGGCATCGATCACCGAATGATACAAATACAAGTGAGAAAAGGCAATTCTCGCTACGAAATAATTGACGCGCGACCTGATAACACGACTGTTTATTCAAGATCTTATTTTCGGTACCGCGCGAGCTTTCCATAACTTGACCATCCAGTGGTACGTATTTATCATTCGCGAAACTATTCAGCTCTGCTCGCGGCATCTCCCGAGGGGAGACGAAGGGAGGACCAAAGGTGTCTGTTGAGGGCGAATCGACTGAGGTCAATCACAAAAGAAGATATACAGACACGGCGCGTGCGGTACTCACTCGTTGTTCAGCACGCGGAACGACTTGGGCGACATGCAGTTGACGCTCCACTCGGTGTTCCCGTGCTCGTTGCATATCGTGATGGAGAACCTGCCGTAGTTCGCCCGTATCAGGTGGATCAGCTTGCCCTCGCCGCATTCGATCTCCAGCGTCTTGCCCTCGCAGGCGTATGCGGTGTCGTACCTCTCTGCAACAGAAAGCGCCATTCCTTTTTATTTCAGCCACGATTTTCGTCGCGTCGTCGCGATAATTCGCCGCACGCAACTGCACGCACGCCGCTGCGCAGCTGCGACTCGCGCGATGAATCGAATGTGGGAGATTATGGTACACGCAGCGCGGACCAACTCCCCGGCGCGTAACCTCCGACGTCTGTTGCGGCCGCATCCACTCGCGGCTCCCGCTTCCGGAAAACCTCCGCACGTGCGAAAATCCTAGAGGATAGGGGCGCGTAGTATTTGCCGATGGGATTACGGTTGTTGCGATATTTAATCTGTTCGCACGGTTGCATTTTTGCGGTTTTATACGTCGGCTTCGGTGCGCCCGGATTTCTATCGCGTACAAATTTTGCATCCGGATTATTTCTCCGGTGAAAAGAGTTTAAGATAAAATATTATTTTTCTCTTTGCGAAGGGTTCCTATATCTCGGGAGGGGTTTGTTTTTTCTCCTGTTCGAAACATCGTGGAAATATTTCACCGTAAATATTTCGAATTTTAAACGTTTTCAATGAATTTCCCCAAGCACTAATATATCAGGATCACTCTGGGAAAAAAAACCTCAATTTTTAATATTTTCACTCGACTTCGTAGGAAAAATGTTACGTCTTTGTCTTAGAAAGGCACGCGATGCATCTTTCGATATACCTTCGTCTCTTGTCAAACTCAGGAATCTAAACTAAACTTTTAGATTACTTATCGTGATGGAGGTCAATCTCAGATATTACAACGGTCAAATAAATTCCACTCGTGGATAAAAAATATCCGTTCCTTTACCCTCAAAGCGGCTAAATTCGGTTTATGTGAACACACTCAACGGGGAAGGGGGGGGGGGAAGGAGGAGGGCGGGCAATATAATATTCTAGTGTGATGTAAACGCTTCGACACGGAATCCGCGGGTAAATTCGCTGAATTTGCCGGCGCCGCAGCATTTCCGAGGAAAGTCCTAACCGCGGACTAAACCAGCATTGTGGCGCGTCGGTACGGAACTAATGAACTCACGACGAGGCTTTCACGGACAGAGTTATTACACCACTCCTCCCCCCCTGTCTCCGGCTCGCGCAAGCTGTTCCCTTGTCGCTGCCCTCTTTCGCTGTCTTCTTCCCTCATTCCCCTCATTCTTCGTTCCTCTCCCTGGACATTATATTACGGCAATCATTATACCGCCATCTAAATAAGCCTGTGTACCCAGTTTTACAATTCTGTCCATCTCCCAGCGCACTTCTACGCGCACCCGCAGAAAAATTTCCGGATCCAATGCTATTACACTTGAATGTATCATAAGATAGGATCGATATAGCGCCAGTCATATTTATCATAGAGAAAGGAATATTTTTATCTTAAATGAAAAATTTTTAAGTTTAGAATAAAATGATAGTATGTATCGTCTTTTGTAGAGTATTGTGCTGTCAACTTGTACGTGTGCGTTGTAAGATGGAGGGACAATTTATTCTAAACGCACGAATATATAAACTTACATTTATACAAGTTACTCTTGTCTCACTATAGCAAGTCAATCTTTTTTCAATTCGATAGATGAGAATAAGAATTATTGATTTTATTTTGACATTGTCTTATTTTTATACTAAACGGGGTTGTAAGAAATATACTATAAATGCGTCAAGAATATTTTTTGTCTCAGTAACGGAAATCCTTTGTGAGGGTGCGTCGAGTACGTCGCGAGACGTATCGACGCGCCAATTTAGATTCCGTCTCCTCTCGTCGACATACATTTGACGCGTTTCAAGCCTAGATTATTACGCAATTATATTGAAAATAACGAAGCGTCGATACAATGCATCTACAGTTGCCCATTTGATCTCCCGAAAGGTTTGACGCGACATAAGGACAAATTTAATAACAGTACAGGCATAATATAGGCATTCCTTTCCCGGAGTCATTAGTTGGCACATGTCCAGCCGTCATTATCGATCATTACGTAAAAGATCCTCGAGCGAAAAAAAAAAAATCATCTCGGACATACGTCTGCTTGCAGAAAATCCGAGAACAAAGCGACGGCTGAGTAACGACGCGCGTGTTTCGCGGTAAATTACTGCGTGCGTGGAAACGATGGTGGCGGAGGTCAAGGATGCGGCGGGATTACGGAGGGCACACACACACACACACACATATGAGAGGAGCGCCTCGATTTAACGTCCCATTCGCTCGGCTACGTCGGCCGATACCCCGGCGTCGAGCGGCGGCGTGTTCTGCGGTGGCTGTACGCCGTTTCGCATCGTCGAGCAAGGTCGCCCCTAAATTTCTGTTAATCTCGCGAATACGGCCCGAGATAAAGGCCCAGCAACAACCTCAATTCCGTTCCTTTCGATTCCACTTGTTAGTCCAGAAGCCGTGCCCGGGTCCCAAGTGTTATTCCGCCCGGCTGTTTGTAACCGAATTCATGTCTTCTCGTCTCGAATTTATCCGGATGAAAAAAAAAGGATATATCGAAGGTGAGAATATCCGAGGGTGTTACCGTGAGGCGAAAGCGGGGATAAATTTAATCTTACATCTGCAATACACATAAGTTAACTGCGGTAAGGAAAGCCGAGGGCCAAAAACACGTATTATGTGCTCGATTTAAACTTTTTTTTCCCCGCCCGGGTGAGACGGAAAGCTTCTCGAAAGTGGGATAAAGTATCGTTGAGGCCAGCGCGTATTCTTGATAAAAATGGCAGAGGGCTGAGAAAGAGAGGGCAAGAAAAAGATTTATAACACGAAGGCAATTTCTCAGCTGCCCGTTTTTGCTCCTCACATCGCGATTAACGCTCGACTCGCGCCGTTATTCTCGCTGCAGTTTGTACTCCGTTAATTAAGCGCGTTTCGATAACACCGTAAGCGGCAGGTAATCGATATACGGCATCATCGACATGCTCGATTAACCAGGGATGTGATAGAAGTGAGCACCGGGCGCGACGTGTGTTTCGATCGAAACGCTACTGCCATAAACGCATCGATTCGTTCTAGCCGATTCGCCCGTTTCCCCGACGGTCTCGCCCTCGTTGCACGCACTTGTATCGCGCTGTGGAATAATTCGTGAGATCGTTGCGCATCGAGTTATCCCGAGGCCAAGTTTTACGCGATAGCATTTTGTCCCGTGGCTTTTAATTCGCGTCATTCTTCGAGATGCACTCGCGCAGCGGCCAAGTCGCCTCGAAGTTGGCCAACTCGAAGACATCCCGGGACAGAGGTGAGATCTCCTCGGGATTCGCCAGAGAGAGAGAGAGAGAGAGAAACTGGTTGGTCCTTCGGTCCCTTTAAACGCGACCCGGGGCCCCGGTGTATGCGGTCACCGCTCGAACGCCGGGAAGACGTTGCCTCCCTCGGGAGTGCTGGAGTTCCGGGGGAGCCGCACTGTACATACATATATACCTGGATGTTTCGACTGTGTTTCGCTACTGCGACTCCCACCCACGACGGATGCGCTTCGTCAAGTTCGAAGCACCGGAAAGCGAGAGGGTTCTCTCTCTCTCTCTGTCTCTGTCTCTGTCTCTGTCTCTTCCCTCGCTCGTTGCATTCGTGTAAATCTTCGGGCTCGCGGCCGCGCCGGAGCTCTCTCGAGAGTCCTTTCAGGCTTTATCGCTTCGCCCTCTGGAGCTCTCGATCGCTGCCTGCCGCTGCGCCGGGCACAGGCTCTCGAGTACGGCCGTCAGAGTTCTTTGAGCGTGATCGAGGAGTTTGCAATTTCTCCCCACCCCCTCCCAAGTAGTGACGTATTAATTGGCAGAGTATTATTTTTTTGTTCCCGGAATGTTACATACGTGTATGTATTTTAGTATCATATTTTTTATCATATACTTTCACGCTTCAAGTACAAGACGTTGGTTAATACGTTAAATTGAAAAGATTGCAGCACATTCTCCGCAAATGTGTCTCAGCTCGGGGGGCAAAGAGCTGCGGCGGAAAAACGCGGCGGACGCGACAAATGTGATGCGCACAACCGCGCGTAATTCCCCCCCCCCCCCCAACATCGAGCTGCTCGTCATGAAAATTAGCGCCTCGGCAGAACAAACGCATTCGGGCTCGCCCCGCTGTTGAATGGGAGAATTATTGCACGGCCCCGCATCGTTGTCGAAGTGCCTTTTTCACTAGGTTTGCCCGCCGCGCTGCGCCCGCCGCAGCTGCGGCTGACGCGTTATGCGTCATGCGGTCGCTACCGCGGCCGAACTTACTGCACGCGGATTGCGCGGCCGGGTTGTAAAACGCCGTCACCGCCGCGTGAAATCGAGCGGGTGAAGCCCTCTCTCGGTATTTAACCCGAAAAAGTTGTTGCGAACTCGAGCGTCGGACAATGAAATTATTATGCGCCCTTTTAGCCGCACTTCGGCGATGCACTCGTTACCAATGCGAATGCGAGCGACGCGCGTGCGTCATGTGGCCGCGGTTAGGACGCGTACGATTCAACTTTGCGTGCTGTTCGACCAATGTATCGTTTAAGTACATCGTTTACGTCACGAGTATCTCGTTGTACATTTTAATTAATTATTATTACGCGACTGTGAGGCAAGGACTCGGTATTAATCTCGGATGAGTTTCATTACGACTTGTGTGTGTCAGACAAATAATTATAAACATATTGTATCAAATTAATAAAATTCATAAGGCTGTCATGTGGTAGCCACCGATTTCAAGCTAACGAGCCGTTGACGGCTCGATGTTAGTGTCTGAATGTTTCTTATTTTTAATTTATTGCGAAAAATATTACCTTAGTCAGAGTTCGAACCTGGACCTCCTTCTCACTAATCCGACCGACGAATAAGTTTGGAAGGTTGTTATTATGTGCGCAAAGTGAAAAATGTTGGACGTATCCTCTAATTCTTTTCTAATCGGAGATATATTTTTAGACTACGTCGCGTCGCGTTATATTTTTCATTTGCACGTTTTGCCGGTCAAAAATTGTGCGGATTGTTTGAGAGTCGGGCTCGCGAAATATTACCAAGTTCTACCCTCCCTCAATTCACTCAAATTACATTA